AAAAACAAAGTCGCTGGAAAAGCTCAGCAGGTCTGGCAGCATCTGTGAAGGAAAAAAAAAGTGTTAACGTTTTGGGTCCTATGACCCTTCCTCAGAACACAGACCCACAATTCTGAGGAAGGGTCACGGGACCCAAAACGTTAACTGTTTTTTCCTTCATAGATGCTGCCAGACCTGCTGAGCTGTTCCAGCAACTTTGTTTTTGTATCAATAATGTTAGGGTCCGAACACCTGCCTCTATGTCATTTACCCACTCCCACACTCCGGCCCCTGTCACGACATTGCCTGCTTTCAGCACAGCCAACCCTTTTTCACCTACTTAATGTCTCCATTATCAGCTTTTCTCCTTCCCTGGCTTGCTATTAGCCATCTCTTAGTCTGACGATCTTTCTTATTCTCTGAGCGCTCTCTCAACCCATCCATTTACTCTTTCTTCCTCTTTCCCCACCCCCTTCATCAACACTGTCATCAGCATAAACAGTACATTTTCCTAGCTGTTATCAACTCAGAGGAAGGGTCACTAGACTCAAAATGTTACCGCTGCTATTTTCTCCATAGACACTGCCAGACCTTCTGTTTCTCCAACAATTACAATTTTGTTTCACGTCTTCAGGATCCGCAGGTCTTTGTTTTATTCAATTCCTGGCTGAGGTTACGGTGAAGGTCCCACCTTCTAATCAATGGCGTGGTTAACCCTCAGGTTAAACTCAAAGCCAGTCGTGTGTGTCTCTCTCTCTCTCTCTCTCTCTCCCATGACAGAACAGCCCTATGGTCCTCTGGCACTATGGCGACTTTACCTTTACTTTACTGGTAATATCAGCCTGGACTTTGGGCTCCAGTCTATTGAGCCCACGGTCTCTGACTCGGTTTTAGGGGTAAGTGGAGGTCAGTGTTAATCACTGAGCTACGGCTCCCCTTTGGAACGAGACAGTCGATAGTGCAATTAGGCAAACCAGAACGGACAGACCAGGTTCCCAAAAAGAGTCATATCGCACGCGAACCGTTAATTTTGTTGCTGTCCCTGCAAATGCCACATAACCTACTGAGTTTCTCCGACTCTATTTCAAACAGACCGGGCCCGGGTTTCACCACCTAATACAGAAAGGAGCCTGTGAGTGGAATTAACTATCTAGAAGGAGAACCTAATTCCCTGTGAGCAGTCACCAAAGCAGAACGTACACGAGACTTTCCTCACCTGTCACGTATTGGAAAAGCTCGGAGTCGATATCGGGAAACTCGTGCCGGATGATTTCTACATAAGTCGCCATATTCCCTCCACCAGCCGGCCGGCTCGTCATCACCGCGCCTGCGCAATGACGCTAACCCGAGACGTCTGCCGGAACTTGTAGTTCTGGGACATAGGGTCAACGTGAAGCAGTCGAGGCTTGTGGACTTCAGCTCCCAAGAGACATTGAGCGGGGCCACGTAACCCCAAAGCCTGGTGGGTGATTGAGGGGGTGGGAATGCTGTGATTGACAGACCCGGTTGTGCCGCTGGGACAGGGCAAGGCCTGTGGCAGCAGATTGACCGAATGTTTACTGCTCTCATTGGACAAAAGCTGATTGATTCTGTTCATACCTGAACTTCTGTTGCTTTCCATCAAGATGAGCGGCTTACTTTCGGTTCTTCATCCTTCATTTGAGGGAAAAAAATCTGGGACATGGAACTTATTCAATTCTGTGTCTAGAGTGGCAGAAGCTTTGAATCTTGAAAAGTGCCAATGAGGTAAGATTGCTGTTTCTGCCTGGTAAAAGGCCTGGGCAGTTGTGAAGAAATCATATCAGACTCAAAAAGTTAACGCCAGACCTGCTGAGTGTCTCCAACAGTTTCTGCATCAGCAGTACTTTGTTGTTGTCTAGGTTTGGTCAGTTTCATTTCAGCTTGGGTTTGGGATTATCACTTTTGTCAATTGTGGGATCTTGTTGGGCACCAGTTGACTGTTGCATTGGTTTCTTGCATTATCATTGTGACTGTACAATTGATTGACCTAAAGGGCAGATTTTCCACTCATTTCTTCATGGACTGTTGTGTTTTCCTCTTCAGTTTTTGTGGAAGCCTCCTATTTTCAATTTCACTGAGTAATGTGATATAGTATGTATGTGTGTGTTGGCAGTGGTGGGAAGGTGGAAGGGGAGGGGTTCAGGGTGTTGGGAAAGTAATACAGCAGGTTTCCCTCTGCCTCCCTCAGACCTGTTCAGACAGTTGATATGAGCAGAATTATGCTAAAGATCAGATATTGACAAGTCCTATCAGTAACTGTACGATGTAGGAGCTGAAGAATTGGGAGAGGAGTACACCATTCAGTCTCTTGAGACTGCTTGCCATTTAATAAAATCACAGCTGATGCTCAATTTCAACTACAGTTTCCTTCACTATACCTCAATACCCCTGGATTTCTTTCTTGTAGCCTTGAAAACATTTCAGTGACTAAGGACTCACTGCTCTCTGGTGTAGATAATTCAAGGATTCACAACCTTCTCCATCTGAAATGATTGATTACACATTATGAAACTATGTCCTGTATGTAAAGACTCTCCAGCTAGGGGAAAATCTCCTCTCAGCGTTGACCCTGTCAAGTCTCTTCAGACCACGTCTTTTCGTTCTCATGTCCAGAGAATATAAGTCTGTTTATTCAATCTCTCCTCATGGACTGTCCTTTTATCCCAGGAATCAACCAGTGAGCCTTTGTTGCACTCCCTCTAAGACTGCTATATCTTTCCTTAAGAATGTAGACCAAAGCTATACACACTACACCAGGTGTGAGCTTAGTAAAGCTCTGCACAATTGCCAAAAGTCATTGTTGTTCTTACACTCCAAACCCATTTCAGTACTCTGACAGAGGATGGACTTTGCAGCTTTGTTTTTCTGGTGGCGAAGACATCTGGGGGAGTGATCTGGAGGTTTCCTTTTCTTTTGGCTGTTTTTCAAACCTGTCTTTTGTATAGTAAGATGGTGCCGGAGAATGGTGATTTTGAACACTTTTCACTGTGCTCCTGTATTCCTGTGCTCAAATACAAGTGACAATAAAATCTAAATCCATATTAGGCCATTCAGCCCATTGAGTTTGCTCCACCATTTGTTCATGGCTAGTAGGTTTGTCAACCCTATTCTCCTCTTTTGTCTCCTTGATCCCCTTATTAATCAGGAACTTGAATCTCCTTCTTAAATACACTCAATGACTTAGCCTCCATAGCCTCCTCCGGCAATGAGTTCATTGATTAACCATCTTGTTGGCTGAAGAAATTCTTCCTCATCTTGGTTCTAAAGGGTTCTAAATTGGATGAGTGAATCTAGCTGTGTTTCTCCTATAATACTAAGTGCAAGTAAATGTCTGTGCAATGGCCTTAGCATACTTGTTCATTTTGCTCAATCCACTAGAAGTTTTAGAAGAAATTATTAATGTGGACTTTGCTAGTTTCAAAATCTCCCCACCCCTGGCCTTATCCCATGACCAGCCCTCCCTCTCATCCCCGTCTACTTGACCTGACACAACCCGTCCGTCTTCTCTCCCACCTCACTGACCAACCCCCACCATCGCCTACCTGCACTCCCCTATCACCATCCCACCTACCTTCTCCAGCCCCACCCCTCCTCTCTATTTATTTCAGAGCTCCCTTCCTCCTCCCCATGTCTGAAGAAGGGTCCCACCCCGAAACGTCAGCTTTCCTGCTCCTCTGATGCTGCCTGGCCTGCTGTGTTCCTCCAGCTCCACTTATCCATTCTTTTCCGCCAGCACATCCATACAGGGAATGTCCGTTCAGTCATTGATGCAGTGAGAAAAGCCTGACACATTTATAGTTTCTGACTATTCATGAACATATTCATATGGGATTGAAACAGTACTGCTGTCAGCATAGCAGCACAGGTGAGAACCAACTCATTTGTATGTCCTGCCTGTCATCATCCATTACAATTCACTGATGTTCTCACATAGGGGAGAAACTGTACAGGTGTTCACACTGTGAGAAAAGTTTTTCTTGCTAATCATACTGCTTCAAGCATCCGCACAGGGGAGAAACCTGATCACTGTTGGCATTGAGAGAAAGTGTTTGCACACTCAGCCTCTCATACTCTGTCAATGGACCTATATAGGAGGAAGACCTTTCAAATGTGTTTCATGCACAAAGACATTCCCTCAGTCGCAGTCTCTCATAGTTCACTAGAGGGCCCACATTGGAAGAACTCTTCACAAATGCCCTGAGTGTAAAAATACATTCACTTGTTACTGGTCTCTGATGATCCATTGGCCTATTGGAGACACACCTCACAAGAATCCCATTCATTAAAAGGCCTTTTCAACTTCTTTGAATCGTTGAACGTATCAGCAAAACCACAGCGGTTTACGAGCGCTCGAGATGTAGAAATATCCGTACATGGTATCCCTTCTCTCGGTCCGTTAGTGCAGTTATTTTGCAAAGAAAATTACTGAAGTTTGCTCGGAGCTTGATTTTTTTTTTTCTGTTCCTGAAGGTTCTGCTTGTGTACATAGCATGCAGGATTCTTAAAACTCCCGTACCTCACTGAAGTGACCACTCCTCTCACAATAAAAGTTCCAAGAGACAAACTCACTATCCATGGTTAACTGGAAATGTTAAAGATGGTATGATACTAAAAGAAAAAAGCATACCATTGTGCAAAGATAGGTGACAGGTCAGAAGAATGGATAAAACATTTAAAAAAAAAGCAAGAATGACCAAAAAATTAAAAGGGAACAATTAAAGTAAGAGAAAGCTTGCAAGAAATGTAAAAACAAATAATAAGAGTTTCTACAAATATATAAAGAAAAGGGTTTGCAATTTAGCAATTGATGCTTTAGGAAGTCTGATTAGAGAATTAATTATGGAAAATAAGGAAATGATAGATGAATTTATGTCATTCTTAATGGTACAGGATACATGTAACATCCCAGAAGCTGCAATAAGTCAGGAAGTGGAAGGGAGAGAGGAATTCAAGAAAATCACAATCACCAGATAAGTGGCACTGTGTAAATTGTTGGAGCTGTGGACTGTCAAGTGGCACTGGTCCTGGTGGACTTCATCCTAGGGCCTTAAAATATATGTCTAGTGAGATAGTTGATGCAATGGCTTTAATTTTCCGAAACCCTCTTGATTTGGAGTAGAAAGCAAATGTAACTACTTTATTCAAGAAGAGAGGGAGACAGAAAGCAGAAAACTAGAGACCTGTTAGCTTTGCATCTGCCATAGGAAGAATGTTAGACGCTATAATTAAAGAAGTAATAAAGGACACTTGGATAAGTTCAGTGTAAACAGACCAGAGTTAGTATGGTTTTGTGAAAGGGAAATTGTGTTTGACTAATCTATTGGAGTTCCTTGAGGAGATAATATGCTGTGGATAAAGGTCAACTAGTAGATGTACTGTACTTAGATTTCAAGCAGGCATTTGATAAGATGCTGCATCAAAGGTTATTGCTGAAAATAAAAGCTCATGGTGTAGGGTGCAGCATAAAGATTGAAGATTGGCTGGCTATTAGATATAAAAGTGTCTTTTTCAGGTTGGAAAAATGTAACAAGTGGTGTACCACAGGGATTGGTGCTGGCACTACAACTGTTTCCAATTTATATGAATGACTTAAATGAATGGACATAAGGTCTAGTTACCAAACATGCAGATGACAAAAACATAGACAAGAAAGTAAGTTGTGAAGATGACACCAGGCAGTTACAGAAAGATTGATAAATTAAGTGAGTGGACAGAGATGTGGCAAATGATATAATGCGGGAAAATGAGAAATTATCCTTTTGGCAGGAAGAAGCAGCATTATCATTGAAATGGTGAGATATTGCAGAGCTCCCAGATGCACGTGGATCTGGGTGTCCTAGCATATAAATTGTAAATGGTTAGTATGCAAGTTCAGCCAATAACTAGAAAAGCTCATAGAATATTATCATTTATTGCAAGATTGTGCTTCAGTTATACAGGGCACTGGTGAGACCACATCTGGAGGACTGTACAGTTTTGATCACCTTAAAAGGAAGAATGTAAATGAGTTGGAGGCTGTTCTGATAAGGTTTACTAGACTAATACCTGGATTGGGTGCTTTGTCTTAAGGGGAAAAGTTAGATAAGCTAGGTCTTGTATCTTGTAGAAGAGTTAAGAGGTTACATCATTGAAACATCTGAAATCCTGAGGGATCTTCTCAGAGTGGATGTGGAGAGGATGCTTTGTCGGAGAATCTGTAACTATGGGTCACTGTTCAAAAATCACAGTATCTCTGAGAGCCACAAATCTTTGGAACTCTTCCTGAAAATGTTGTGATTTTTTTTTTAAGGCAGATGGGTATGTTCTTGTTAAGCAAGGTGAGGATGGGGGCCAGTGGTGGAGGATCAGCTGGAACGTGGATTTCAGGTTACTATCAGATCAGCCAT